TCTTCTCTCACTATGCCGTATCATTTTCAACAATCCAGGATTCTTCTGGTTGTAAAGCTTAATCTTCTCATTCAAGGATACCTTTAATTCTTCTGCCAACCAAACAYACACCCACAGAAACACTGAGTGCAATAATCAATGTGGTACAGAAATTTGATACTATTTTATAATAGTGGTTGGATTACCATTGTAGGATAAGCAATTCTTCAACCTTGACCTATACCATAGGTAATGTTTTCCTGCACATCATTCTTTTCTTTCTTCCATTTTAATCTTATTATTCTTAATTTCCTTTACCTCACAATTAATTGACAAGCCTACTTAGTAGGCACCAGCCACTGTTAGAAGTGCATTTTATACATTGAGAAATTCTTATGAGGATGGTAGGASAGACCTGGCCTTATGAAATTGGAGATGGTGATGGACAATTTTGCAGAGACAGCCTGGAACATCTTCTTCACAGCTAAACTCACAGGACTTTCTGAAAAACCCATAAACAACYGAGACTGATTTGTTTTGCATATTCCTGGTTGGCCTGCTGAAGGACTAACTRGGACAGAATGTGTAGACTAATCTTTTGCCAACTTCTTGCTAAAGAGTTTACTCCCCAAATTATGCAAACAAGATTCACTATTCCCAGACTGTTTATAAGTTTTTTCTTCCCTCCCCTCCTTCCTTTTTATAAAGCCTGTCTGTGCCTTTATTCTTTGACTCAGCCTAACAGCTGCTTTCTTTACATGTATGAAAACAACTTGCATGCAAATCACTAAGCCATGTGGAAAACACCTAACCAAATGTCTCTGAGGTATTSACTGATGTTAACTCACTTAATTCTCAAAGAATTCTATAAGATAGGCACTAGATTACAGATTAAGGAAATGAGAAAAAGAAAGGGTCACACTTCAGTAAGTGTCATGCCTTGGCTATGAACCCATGCTTTCTTTAACCACCACGTCACACCATCTCAAGGACTGTGAGCACCTGGTGGATTTATCAAGTCCTCTCCCCATCTCCTCTCCTCCACAGCCCAGGAATGAGATTATTGCTGGTTCTTTTCTCAAAAGATGAATATACTTATGAGGCCTGGCATGAGCAGGACCTGGGATCAATATATACCTGAATATGACACTAGAATTTGTCCCATTTTAGAACTCTCYCAGTTACACTCAAAATTAATTGATTGAATTATTGAAGGTGTAAAAAAAGAGCCAATGAGTCTAAGTCCWCACCTGGAGGTATCCTTCCACAGGTGTGTCTTGCCTTAACAATTCAGATGGGACTTCTTGCAATCTCTTAACAGCTTCTTCTGTGGGTGTCAAACTCTAGTTGGATCACTATCGGATTCCATGCCACTTCCTATTTGGGGACGGTTTCTTCAACTTGGAAATAGCAGGTAATYTATCAAGACCTTTCCAACTCCAAAACTCTAATGAGCCACAGATTCTGAGTCACCCTCTCAGAAGAGCAAATTTGAAATGAGTAGCTTGGTATCACCCCCCAGGCCATTGTGAACCAAGATGATCAGATTCTTCCAGAATTTACGTGATCTCTTGGGTATTCCAGTTTCCAAAATGGTATCTTTTTCCTGTGTGATTCTCCACATTCTCTATATGATAATCTTTATATATTGCATATAGTCCAGCCATGAGAATTGAAGATTTATTCCAGGGTGCTTTTGGCTTCTGTGTCTTTGCTCACACCATTCTTTTCTCTGACTACCTATCCCCTCCTCATCCTAGCCCCTGAGTCATTCTTACTTTCTCTGCATTTTCAAAACCTAACAAGTTTTCAAATCCCAGTGTAAGCYCCACTCCTCAGGAAAGCCTCCCTACATGACCCCATCTCCCTCTCTGGGCTTCCTCATACTGACTAATAGTTCACTTAATTTGACTGCATTCTTCCCACATTGAGGTACCCTTCCACAGATGTGCCTTTCCTGGCCAATTAAGATGGGAACATCTTGAAATTTCTGACAGCTTCTTCCATAYATAGTGCTTAGCACATGGTAGAAACACAATAGCTGTTGATTGGAGAATGTGCCTAAAATTTGGAGAAAATTCAGGATTGTGCCTACATTGATATAATTTCCAAAAACTCTTAGATTAGCTCCGATGATGCTTAAGGCATTTGTTTGATGCAAATAAAGTTTCACATCTAGAGGAAGGAAGGAAGGAAGGAGGAAGGAAGAAACTTCTAATACAGTGAGCCTGTTCTGAGCACTTTACATATATTATTTAGTCCCCCACGTGGTCCTAGAAGGTAAACACCATTTATTTCCCCATTGTTACAGATGTGGAAACTGAGGTATGAAGTACTTGAGTGACTTGTTTCCAAATTCACATGGATAGTAAATTTCCCTGTAKCATGCACAGTAGAGACTTCCTATTATTTTCCTCAGCAGATTTCTAGGATATGCTCATTGAATGTCAGTGTAGCTGGTATTTCCATGGTTAATGAGAAGTTAACTCCTGCTTCATTGACCAGTCAAGGAATGACTAACAGCTCCTCTTTCTGTGCCATTTCAAACAAATTATCTTTATGRAAAACAAAAATGGTTCCAAACCCAATCTAGAAGGATGGATTATTACGGTAATGCATCTTACAACATTGGGACCTTTGTTTGACTTGTCGTTAAATGTGTCTGCCCTATGTTGATAATAGTGTATAATCCATTTTATTGTTTCATAGGAAAAAGTCTTGAATGAAGTCTCAGCCACTCCCCATGGAGCATGGAATTATGTAACCATTATAGGGTTCTTTCTCCACCAAAAAAAAAAAAAAAAAAAGTTTTAGTGATCTTCTAGCTTAATGCTTGCATTTGCCCCATGACAAAGCAGAGTCCCAGAGGTAAAAGGACTTAGCTAAAATCATCTCAGGCTGCAAAAGACAAATAACTGAAGATCCTACTTCTCCTTAGAAAGTCGGGTGAACAACTTGGTATCAGGCKTCACATCTGGAAATGAATGAAACCAGTCATGCTGTTTTCTTTGGTTTTCAGTGGAATTTTGCTCTAGAAAATGTACCTTTTTATATCTTATTTAGTTACATTGGAATGACAAGAGCGGGAGGCATATAATGGAAGAAAATAAATATTTTTCAGTGTCTGGAAACCCAAAAGAGAAAGTTTTAAGTTGTCATTTTGTGTGTGTCTCTCTCCTCAGGGAAATCTTGAAGCAACAATAACCCAACTGTACTTAAAGATGCCCAGGAAAGAGCCAAATCCTTCCTCTGAAGGGCCACTACTACAGAGCCTACACAGTTAGGAAATCCATCCTTATCACTAGCCCAATCTCTGGCTTTACAGCTTAATTCTAGTTTGTTTTATTTGGTGCCCAAAATTAATAAAACTAGAGCTAACTGGACATAATCAATGTATTATATCAGTGAAAATAGTGGTTAGAACAAGGGCTCTGAACTCAAGTTTATGGTCAAAACTTAATTCTATCACCAGCTATGCGATGTTCAGCAAGCTCTTTGATTAGTCTGCGCCATAATTTTTTACATCCATGTAAATGGTAAAAATACAAAAGTATTTCCTTCCTCATATTGTTATTATCATGATTAAAACTGTTAACACACATAAAGTGTTTGGAACAAATAATGTTAGCTGCTCTAATTTTCTCATTTAATTCTCACTCTAATTCACGATATTTTTATCAACAACCATGTTTCCATGTAAGGAAACCAGAGCGTGGAGAAGTTCAGTTACCTGAGGACACAGTGCTCAGAAGGAAGGAGCAGGGACTATGAATTTAGAAGCAAGGATTCAGCAAGTTTCACTATCTGCCACTTCCCCACACATCCTCCTTGACTGAGCTAGACCTCAGGAGATTCATCCTGTGAGCAAGAATCATTGCCACTGCAGAGAGTTTTGGCACCAAATGCTCTTTTACTCCAGACTTCATCACCAGTAGAGATTGGGTTGATATCTTTTCTTTTTAAGGTAGCTCTGAATCCCTTCCTGGTGTCTGAGGTCTTTTGGAGACCCCCACCCTCCTCACATCATCAAGTCCCCTTCCTGGTGCACAGAAAGGGCACAGATGGCTTTGGAGTCACACAGTCCCAGGACTGACCCCAGTTCCATACTGACTTTCCATGCAATTTTGGCACACTGCGTGATCTTTCTGTGTCTTAGTGGTCTCATCTATGCAACTGAGAAAATGATCTTCTCTTGGCTTTATGAAAATTAAACATGGTAGCCCAAATAGCTCCTCAATAAATTTTCCTTTTCTTTTTCCTACATGAGAAGCCCAAGGTATCCCAAACCTTAAGCTACAACCCCTTTCCAGCCAAGCACAGATGACAAATGGTAATTCTTATGATTATTCCTTGCYCAAGTTGCTCACCATTTGAGCTGAAATCATCCACCAAGATGATCTCTTTCAGCAACCRAGGTGGGGTCCGGCTGATGACACTGGTGATGGCCCATTGTATAATGGACAGAGATTCATCCATGAATATGAGGATGACACCAAGGGATGGGAGTAGGGAAGGGTATGACTTCTGAACACACCTATAAGAAACCATTTTGATAACCATGATATTGATACTCAATTTTCCCTTTTACTACACATGATTTTTATTTCAACCCATCAAACCCCCAACTCATTAGAGAGGGGAAACAATTGTTTATCACATTAGCAAGGAGATTTTATATTTACTTATCCAAAATTATTCTGCAGCATGGATAAAATCCATTGTGTGTGTGTGTGTGTGTGTGTGTGTGTGTGTGTGTGTGTGTATTACTGGGGATTGAACCTCTAGCCCTGAGCTGTGTTTCAGCCCTGTTCATTTTTGTTTTGTTTTGTTTTTGTGGTGCTAGAGATTGAACCCATGGCCTTGTGCATGTGAGGCAAGCACTCTACCAGCTAAGCTATATCCCCAGCCCTCGTTCATTTTTTATTTTGAGATGGTCCAATACTTTTAAAATCAGTCTTCAGTTGACATTTCTACTCGAATACTCATTATGTCCCCAAAGGAATTCCCATTCCTCTCCCATGCCCAAGTAAGCTTCCATGTCAGCAGCCTTCTTTCTGTCATTGTCACCACCCTTTCCCCATGTTCTCAGACCTCTAATCACCTTTAACACAACCCTCTACTTCTTCACTATAGGCAGAAGGCAAACTTTCCAGAGAACTGTGCTTAATTCCTTTTTAAGTTATACACTGCATTTATGGAATGCCTACCATATGCTAGACACTAGTTTACCCTTATTTTTATAGCTTTATTAAAGTGTGATTGATACACTAAAAGCATCACACATTTAATGCATACAAATTTGATGGGTTTGGAAAGATGCACGAACCTATGATACCATCAAATCCCCTTCATGGAGTCACACAGTCCCGGGACTGACCCCAGCTCCATACTGACTAAACATTTCCACCACAAAAATTTCCTTGTATTCCTTTGCTTTGTGTGTATATCTAAGAACACAATATAAAATCTACCCTCTTGATAAATATTTAAGTATATAAAGCTGTATTATAAACTATAGGCACCATGTTGTACAGCAGGTGTCTAGCATTTACTCATCTTGTATAAATGTAATTTTGTACCCATTGAGCAAGTCCTTGTTTTTAAACACAACTGTTGAAATATAATTTACAAACAATAAAATTCACACATTTAAAAGTGAATCATCCAATGCTTTTTGTAATAGTCACAAAGTTGAATAACTGTCAGTACTACCTGATATTAAAATATTTTCATCACATAAAAAGAAACCCTGTAACATTAACAATCACCCTCCATTTCTCCCCAACCCATTCCACCTCTGTCCCCTCAGCCATAGGCATCCATGAATCTCACTTCTATTTCTACAAAATTACCTATTCTGTACCTTTCATRTAAGTAGAATTGCCTAACATATGGTCTTTTGTGTCTAGCTTATTTTCWCAGCTTATCAGTGTTGTAATCGGTATCGGTACTTCATTCCTGTTATTGTCAAATAATATTCCATTGTATAAATATGTCACATACTGTTTATCCATTTACCAATAAATGGACATTTCRGATATTTCCACTTTGGGGCTATTATGAATAATGATGCTCTATGAACATTCTTGAACACGTGTTTGTATTTGTACATGTTTTCATTTCTGATACAAAGTCATGACAGTGTGCCTGATGACAATGTTTCTATTGGTGACAGACCACATATACCACAGTGTTTCCATAAGATTAAATTGCCAAGTGACATCATAGCTGTTTTTGTTTCTGCAAGTATACTGTATGATGTTCACACAGTGATGGGGTCACTTGGCCAGGCATTTCTCAGAACTTACCAACCATTCAGTGATGCATATTGTAGTCAAAGTCCCAAAAGAAAAGTGAGAAAGTTGAGGAGCTGTTAAGTATGGAGATTTTAAAAACATATTTTGAAGAAATAATGACCAAAGCATCATTACGCAGCACATGACCTTATTTTATTTTTAATCCTGGCATCCTCGGAGATGCCCCYGGGTCACAGTAGCTTATGGTTCAAACAGTGTGCAGAGGTTGGGCTTATGTCCCTAGTGCTATTGAAGTTTCAGCTGTTTGTCAATGGATCTGTGTGCAGGTTGATAAATTGTTAAAAGTCTTTCCTTTTTCTTACTCTGGTWCCTGGGTGGGTTTGGCCCAGTGCTGGCACAAAACCTTGTAGATCACCCAGGGATGGGTGTGATCCCAGGTCAGCTATGCTTGGCTGTCTCTTTCCATGGTGTTGTCTGTTAAATTTCTGCATGTTCCCCCATCTTGCTACTCATATTGTGGGGCTATGAGTGTCCTCCTAAATGTTCTCCACCAAGAATTTCATTGGTTCAGACAACACCATTAGGCATGGACTTCTTCATGCTCTGTTCTGAATAAGGTCAATCCCTTAAACYGSGCTAGGAGGTTTTCACCCTGCCTTTCCTTCTAYGCTGGACTTTGGCAGCAGTGCACAAGAGCTGGGGGTGGGAACAGGATCTCACTTTTGGAATGACACCCTGCTCTGCAGGAAGACACTGAGGAGGGGGAGTTTGGGAGTTTGGGAGTGGAGGCAGCAGCCCCTGGATTTCTTAGCTTTTCCATTCTAGTGTGGAAMATCCACTGTGCAAACAAGTTGGGGAAGAAGAAAACAGAACCCAGCATTCTTGGCCAGACTCAGCAACAGTTGAAATTCTACCTTAGGAGGAAGTAGGGCAAGGTGGAGGGGAGGAGTCACAGTTGACTCCACTAGGAACAGAATTTTTGCATCATAAGAATGGGGAAGATGTGAAATATGGTTGGCCTGCCCTTCCCAGSGTGAAACCACTGCCCTGAGCTGGGAGCTGCAGGGAAAAGCAGCCCTCTATCTCTTGACCATACCCACTCAGAGCAGAGAAATTTAGGTAGAGTTTCTCAAAGCTAAAACTGGTGGTGGTATGGAGGGAGCAAGTGGGGGGAGGGGGGGTCATTCATATGCCACAGATTCCCACTGGTCTTAATGATACATTCCTATGAGAATGTTTCTGCATTTGCTCTGTGCCCTCAAGATAAATTCTGAAAACACTGAGTGATTCTTTTTTTTATAATTTTCTCCAGTCGGATGGTTGTTTTACTAGGGAGGAAAGATGCTGCACTCAACATTCTGCCATTCTGGAAGGAAGCCTCAATCCTTACTTTTATTTAAAGTAGTTGCCAATATTCTTGTTTTAAATCCAGATTTCTGGCRTCTCTGACAAGCAGACATTTGTCTCACTGAAACCTCCTTCCCAGAGGATAACACCTCCTCTGATCAGAGTCAAGAGTTGTTAGAAWTGCTCACAGCACATTCTCCCTGGTCACCTCAGGCCCCACCCAAACCTCTCTTTGCATCMTGGATGTCTGTCGGTATTTAATTGCAGCCCCTGAGATTTCAGTGCATTTTAAGCCCAGACCACAGGCAGCTGGATGAATGCACAGAGTGTTAAAAGCACACATATTATTTGAAGAACTGTGCTGTTCAGTAGTAATGGCCAGAGGTGGGACTGCACACACCAGCAGGGAACAGGCCACAAAGGCTAACAAGATTGGGCTGTATCCTAGAGGTACTCATGGAATTTAAACAAAGAATGGGTATGATCGAATCAATGTTTTTAATAAGTTCTTTCAGCCACCATGAACACAGCAGTTTTGGATCTTCAATGTCTCCCATGTGTTAAAGGCTTGATCTCTGTGTCACTATTGGGAGGTGGTAGAACCTGTAAAAGGTGGGAAATGATAGAAGTTCTTCAGAGCATTGGGGGACAAGATTCAAAGCAGAGGGATCACAGTGCCTTCCTCTTCCTTCCTTTCATTTCCCAGCCAGGAAGTGGGCAGCTCTGCTCCACCTGTGCTCCCACCATGATGTGCTGCCTCCCCACAGGCGCCAAAGCAACAGAATCAACCAACCATGGACTGGACCTCCAAAGCTGTGAGTCAAAATAAACCTTTTACCTTTGTAAGTTGATTTCTCTGGCATCTGTTCCTAGTGACAGAAAGCTGACTATAGCAGAAAGCAATTGGCCACAGGGGTTTCCATAACACAGGGGGAGGATCTTTCTCCTAAGATCCTCCCTGGAGAAAGAAAGGAGTGAAAAGAGTTTCTTTCTCAAACTTCAAGGTGCACACACACACCACCTGGTTCAGCAGATCTGGGTGGAGCCTGAGATCCAGAGTTTCTATCAGGCTCCCAGGTGACAACAATGCTGTAAGATTAGCATTCCTCCAAGTCAGCTCTGTCATTTTCTATGGGCATGATCTCTTGTACCTCCCTTTCCTTATCTGTAAAACGGTAGTAGCAGTAATAATAATAATGCTCATATCACAATATTGTTATGAGATTCAAATGTGGTCACGTGCATAAATTGCTTGTAATCAAAGAAGTTCAATAAATGTTAGTTGTTATTCTTGCTACTTTGGTACTTCTTGTTATTTTTGTAATTCTCCCTTGGACAACAGCATCCTTTATTAAGCCAGGAGAAATAAGAGAAGAAAAAGAAATTGACACATTTAGAAATTGGCCACATTGAGTGTGGGGGTGCCCCTGAGTCACGTCATGGATTTTCTTGCAGGTCATTGTATATATGGTTCCAGGATCTCAGCAGAACGGTTTGAATTAGAGATGTGTAGATTTAGGAGGCATCACCACGAAGGTGTTGGTTGGATTCCCCATTGGGTAAAATCACCTGAGTTATAAACAGGAAGGAGCCTCATGTTAAAGCCTGAAGCTCATCAATATTTAAAGCACAGGTAGAAGAACCTGACAGAGAACTTTAAATTCTTTAAAGCGTAGTGGCAGTTCTTAGTGCAGGAACAGAATGGTTATATAATAAATATGTATGTAATTGAGAGTAAGAATAGGTAATTATGTTAAATTGAAGGCTGATTAAAATTCAGTTCCACTTCTCTTCCCTCTAATTCACATAATTGCATCATCAAACTTTTAGATTTTCTTTTTCTCCACAATGCCTCCCATGCTTCTTTTTTAATTTTTTCATGGAAATATTCTAAATGCTTTCACAACACTTTTCTTATCCACACCCCCAC